TTTTCAACCGTCAGCGGCTGTCAAATGACGTCACTAATCTGATCCAGCCTGGGAAAAGATCCCAACTTTAAAAGGGGATCCACCCAGATGTCTGAGCCTGCGCCTGGCTCAGTCTCTCAGGGGGCCACTGAGAGCCTCAGACCACAGCTCTCGCCCCTTCCACAACCCAGCGCTGGAGGGGCAGAGCAGACAGTGGTGACTGACAGTGCTCAGAGCAGAAGGGAGAACTGAGCGATTAGCGGTGTTTGATAGCTTAGTTCTCCTTACACCCTATGATTGGGCTTTCTCAGTTGCCTACTTTGGAAGAGAGAGATTAGTGCAAACCTGGACAAAAAGGTAAAGTGACAGAGTTAGCACATGTATTTGGGAAAGAGTAACAAGCAGGGGCGGACTGACCATTTGGAAACTCGGGCACTGCCCGAGGGCCCAGGTCAGTAGGGGGCCCCATGAGATGCCCCTGGTACCTTTTTCATAGGCTTTTTTGAGTTTGGGCAAGGACACAGGGGTCCCATGATCCCCTCTTGCCCGGGGGTCCCATGAGTTGTCAGTCCGCCCCTGGTAACAAGTGAGTTATGACCCATGTATGAGGTCTAACAAGCACATGAGCAGGTTTTTCACCTGTGTGGTGGATGTACACATGGCACGTGAAGAGTGAAGAATTTTGAATCACTTTTTACACAGTAGCGTTTTAGTCATACCAGTTATTAGAAGACTGATTTGATTATTTTTGTGTGCCCTATAAATTTTGTTTTTTCACTTACTGTGCTACAATAAGTGTGTGTGAATATGAAACCCATACTTTTATTCTATGAAATAAAGTCTGTTAGAGTTGATGAAATTGTATGTATATGGATAGGAAAACTGGTTACATGAACAAGTCCAAAGAGTAGAGATAAAATGAGTCATTGTCTAAAAGGTCTAAAGTTGTGATTAGTGTGCCCAAGGGTTTGGTCATGGGGCCAATGCTGTACAGTTTGTTTAATAAGGAAATAAAGGTTGTGATTAAAGACTCAATTTCAGTGTATGCCGACACTACCATATTACACAGTAAAATAGATTTGGCATGGGATGTAGACTCATTACAGGAAGACTTTGATAAAATATTACGGGTTGGACAGCTACATGGCAGATGAGGTTCAAAAATGAGAAATGTAAAGTTATGTATTTGAGTGCTAGAAAACACACATGTGAAATACACATTAGGAGGGGCTCCCCTGGAGAACCAATGATGGAACAGAATCTGGAATTGCTTGTAGATCAGGACTTCACTGTGCCATGCAATGCTAAGCCACAGCTAACAAAATACTGTCATGCATTAAAAAGGGCATACATTCAAGAGATAAATCAATAATTCCACTCTTTTCCAAAACACTGACTTTGCCTCATCTTGAATATGCAGTTCAGATTTGGTCACTAGGGATGTCCTTGATGTTTGAGTCGAACATAAGTTCGGCTTGAACATCGGGTGTTCGTTTGTTCTGAAAACACATTAACAGTTAGGGCATTTGGCAGGCTGTTCGCCTGCCGTGCCTCACAATGCACTGCGCTTTGACAGTGCATTGTGATTGGCTAAAGCAATGCATCTGACTAAAGGTCAGGTGCAATGCTGTGGCCAATCACAGCACAATTGGGTGGAGCTAGTAGTGACATCACCGCTACAGGCCAAGGTTGTGAGGAAGAGGCTCTTGACCCCATCAACATGGGGACAAGGTGCTTTTGGGGGGGAGCAGCCCCCTCTGCCCCAAAGCACCCCCTCATGTTGAGGGCATGTGGTCTGATACGGTTCGGGGGGGGGGCTTGTTCGCCTTTCCTGACTTGCCAGGCCTGTGCTCATGTCCTACCAGGCCTAAAGAGCCTGGTAGAGCTTTTAGGGGGAACCTCACACATTTTTTACTGTGGGGTCCCTCCTAACCTTCCTACCAGACCTAAAGGGTCTACTATGGATTGGGGGGAAGGGGGGGCACACTTTTTTTTTTAATACATTTTTAAAAATAATTTCAGTCCTGCTGCAGCAGGTTCTATACATTGTACAAATATGCAACTTTCCAGGTAGTTTAAGGGGACCCCCCAGGCATATTTAACTGCTTCCCTGGCATCCTATAGCAAAACTACTGCTACAGGGCAGCAGGGCTGCGCAAAATCATGTATATATGTGATTTTGCAATTACGGGTAGTGGGCGCGCATGTTGCCCTATCCGCTTCACCATTGGCGGCTACAGCTGTTGATCACCGGGTCCCGGCTGGAGATTCCCCGCCAGCACCCGGCAATTGCCGAGGAACACTGACAGGGGATAGCTCTGTATGTAAACATTACAGATCTCTCCCCTAACAGCACCAGCATGATGCTTTGCATTGCTCTGCATAGCAAATAGCAATAAAATAGCGATAAAATACCACCAAAACAAAGCTCTATGTATGGGAAAAAAGGACATAAATTTCATTTGGGTGCAGCGTTGCCTGACCACGCAGTTGTCAGTTAAAGTAACACAGCACCATATCGCACAAAATGGCTTGGTCAGGAAGGGGGGTAAATCCTCTGGAGGGCAAGCAGTTAAATGAATTTGTGGACAATCTACTCAGTGGTATCTTACCGCATCCACGCATTTTTCCAAAAAAAGTTGGCATAAAAAACCGCTACTAATATACCACATGAGTTACTTTATTAAGTCATGTGGGTTTTTAGTAGGGAAAACATGCATTTTCCACTGACAACTGAATGTAAAAAGAGTTGCCAGCAATTAAAAAAAATTTAGCAAAAAAACTACATCCTCCCCCCATCCATACCAAAACCTTTGGGTCTGGTATGGATTTTGAGGGGAACCCCTATGCTAAAATAGAAAAAAAAAAATTGGAATGGGGTCCTCCCCAAAATCCATAACCGACCCTTATCAAAGCATGCAGTTCGGCAGGTCAGGAAAGAGGGGGGGAGAGCGAGCATCTCCCTTCTGAACCATACCAGGAAACATGCCCTCAATATGGGGGGGTTCTTTGGGGCAGGGGGGCTCCCCCCCAAAGCACCTTGTTCCCATGCTGATAGGGACAGGGCCTCTTCCCCACAACCCTGGCCTGTAGTTGTGGGGGTCTACGGGTGGAGGTCTGATCAGAATCAATAAAGGAGCCCCCAGATCCCAGTCCCCCCCATGTGAATGAGTATCGGGTACTTGGTACCGCTACTTATTCACAAAAAAAAAAGTAGTGTAAACAATGACAGTAGATAGTATTTGACAAGTCATTTATTAAAAACAACAAAAATGAAAAAAAGAATATCCCCTGAAGTAGATCCAACATCAAGTAAGATGCCCGCAGCCACTGCCGACCTGAAGAAACAATAAACAAACACACAAAAAAAAGCTCTGCTCTCAACACTGGCTCCTACTGCACCATCCAAATCCATACCAGGCCCGAAGGGCTTAGTATGGATGGGGGGACCCCACTCCGTTTTCTTGCTACATTTTTCATCGCAGGCAACCCCACTGACAGCTGAAACATTACTACAGGTTTCAACTACTAAAATACTGCATGATTTAATAAATAACTCATGCGGTATTTTAGTCGTTTTTTTAGTGAATGCCAATGCTGTGCGGTATCTTCTGGGTGCAGTAAGATACAGCTTAGTGAATTGTCCCTTGAGTTCGAAGTTCACGGTCAAACTTTCCTTAGGTTCAAATGCGAACTGAACAGGGGGGGTGTTCAGCCCATCAGCATTGGTCACCAATCCTCAGGAAATACTTTGTTGAATTATAAAGAGTTCAACAAAGGGCAACAAAATGAATAAGGGGGGGGTGAAGAACCTCAGCTATAAGAATTACATAGAATACAGTTATTCACTCTGGAGAAAAGGCACTTAAAAGCAAGAGAGCATATGATTACAATGTACAAATATATCAAAAGGTGACTTTAGTAACTGTAATAAATGGTTTACTCTAAGGTACCCGAAGAGGACACATGGTTACAATTTGAGGTTAGAAGAAAGGAGAGTTAGGTCATAGATTGTGTAAAGGGTGCTTTCTGTTGTAGCAATAAAAATGTGGAACTCCCTACCCCACAAAGTGGTATTAGCTGAAAGTGTCGACATCTTCAAAAAATGTTTAGATGTTTTCCACAGGAAGCAGAATATACAGGGCTATGATAATTGTTGGAGAATAGAAATCACACATAAGTTGAACTGGATGGACCTATGAATCCTATAAACTATGTAACTTGAATTATGCAACATCAAATTGTTATCTGATTATGTCCTATAGTATTGACACAGCAGTCATAGTTCAATACTAGGGAAATTTCCCTGGTAGAAAATCAGCTCTGGGCAAAAGTCAATACAGCAGTGATGGAGCTTTGAACTTGTGTTAGGAATCCTTTGTTCCTGAACATTTCAAACCTTGGTACAGTCAGGACAATTCTGCCCAATTAATTCACATAGATGGAAATATATATCAATTGAACTAGTTACTGTATAATTTTCTCTTAAATGCCCAATATCTGCTAGATGAACATGAGACAAATCAAAGGCTGAAATTGAAAAAATTTGCCTGCCTCAAGTTTACTTTACTAATGTCTAGGCCCATTAAATGGTAGTATTTGCTCACATTGCATGACAATATAAAAAGAGGAAAAAAAGGCAAAATAAAAAATGGATTGACTCAGTATTATAAGAAATACTTTTAGAGGAGTAATCTTGGTTTGGCATTCAGAAAAGTGGCATGATTTCATATAAAACAGAATTTGTCTAGCCACAGGATTATTTAAAACACCCACATATAGACAGCATAACCGACAACTTTACTTTTACTACTTTCATTTTATTTAGAAAAAAAACAGCTTAAAGAACAGAAAACAAAGCTTAAAGTATATCTAAGTCTAGGTTCACACCTATGCGTTTTCCGTTGCGTTTTGCAGAAACGCACAGCAGCCCATTTAACATGAATTCCTATGGGACATCTCCGCATTTTCACCCAGTGGTTCTATAGACTTCAATGGAGACACTGCAGAAAAGCATGTAGTGCGTTTTTGATGTTTTTTTTTTTTTAGATTTTATTCGGCCCAGCAACAAGTTGAAAAATAAAAAAAACGCATCAAAAACACGGCAAAAAACGCATGTGCAAAAAGCACTGTAGAAACGGATCAAACACAAACTGCATAGGTGTGAACCTAGTCTAAAGACAAAACTTTTTTTTTTCTTTTTTAAATAGAGTGGCAAGAGCTTAGAGCCCCTGTCAGGTTTTTATTGCTGTGCAAGTCCCTACAAGGCAGATCCACCCTGGCTTCGTTACTGCACGTCGCTTTCCAAGGCTTCAACTATTCTGGGGACAATCTTTGTGAAGCGACGATGCTTAGACATACAAGCAAACTGTATAGTGCTAAGAGAGAGCGGCACCTGAATAAGGGAGTTTTTTAATGCTGTTAATAAAGCTTAATACAGTTAAGAGCATAACGCAAGCCATACATGGGTTGAATTCCGTACGATTTTTTGTCTGAAAATTGAAAACGTTGTTCGCTCGGTAATCCGATGGTGCCATTAATGATTTCGAAAATAGGCTGACCAAGTCATAAAGTTCACCCCATATAACAGGTGAAACTTCTGTTCCTTCCAGGTTACGGCTCATGCCATATTCTTTTCAGAAAAACGATCGTACAATTTGACCATTTGAAAATCTGTAATTTTTCAAGAATTTTCCAACATGCCCGATCACCGAAAAGGGCAGGAACCACGAAAATCGGCCGGTGCCAGTGACCCACTAACAGAGCGAAAATCGACCGATTATTCTTAGGTCTGATTTTCAGATGAAAAATCTGTCGAATTTCAACCCATATATGGCCGGCATAAGTATGGAGAAAAAGAGCTCTGGAGAACAATGGTGATGTGGAGGAATTCCCTACTGGCATCTAATACCTAAACCAAGTGCTGCCAGGCTTTTTTTTTTGTGTATTAAAAAGGTCCATTACCTCTGGTGCATGTGTTGCAGAACTCGGGGAGAGTACTGAGAGCATCTTTGTTACGTGTTAAGCACAGAGTGGCACATGGAAAATATTTATTGAAGAAGTACAAGGACTTTGTATATGCACTTTATTTTTTTGGCACTTTTTGTGGACATTTGCACAATAATTGATGAACACCTTCATGCTATAAAAGCTTATTGCACTTTGATCAAATTGCACATTAGTTTTTCAGGCAGGTGGGTGTAAAAGGAATTGTGTCCATATACACACTCTTACCTCGGCCCAGAAAAAAATTGGAAACTAAGCGGACCCAATGTGTCATATGCTTGGATGAGAGCAATTGTGTGTCCAGGTTTACCTCTAGACTCTAACCAGCCCAGGGGCGGACTGACAACTCATGGGGCCCCTGGGCAATAGGAGATCATGGGGCCCCTATGTTCTTGCCCACACTCAAAAAAGCCTATAAAAAAGGTACCAGGAGCATTTCATGGGGCCCCCTACTGACCCCGGGTCCTCGGGCAGGGCCTGAGTGCTCGAATGGTTAGTCCGCCCCTGAACCAGCCTAAGCAAATATTTGCCTTTTCTTGGTTCTGTAAGTCCTCCTTCCCCCAATGTGTCATATGCCTGCTCTGCTCCGATCAGCAGGGGATCTGTGAGCTGATCAGAACAGAATCTGCCCCATGTGAAAGAGGCCTTACTGAAACAGAAAAAAACAAAAAGGAGAGATCTTCCTAGCAGGAACCCATGTTCTGGAGATAACTGTCTAGAGAGGATTTCTCCCTTTGTGTAACCATCCTAAGCAAACATTTGCCTTTTCTTGGTTCTGTAAGTTCCCCCTTCCCCGTGTGTCATATGCCTCCTTTGCTCCGATCAGCAGGGCATCTGTGAGCTGATCAGAACAGAATCTGCCCCATGTGAAAGAGGCCTTACTGAAACAGAAAAAAAAGGAGAGATCTTCCTACCAGGAACCCATGTTCTGGAGATAACTTTCTAGAAAGGTTTTCTCCCTTTGTGAAGAGTTTATTTCCTCTCAATTCCTGTTATATACAGGAAGTTAAAAAACCAAATGGGTTACAGGTATGAATGAATCCTCTACTCTATCCAAAACTAAAACAAGTTTTAACTTTGGCTACACTTTAAAGCAGGTTTTCTCAACTTTTTTACTTTGGAAGAACCCTTGGCAAAAAGCTTGCTATCTCGAGAAATCCGTGAAATAATGTTCAGATCTACAGCTCACAGAACATGGGTGTGATCAGCAGGTTATTGATATAGAAATAGCATGATGTTAAAACTTACCTATTTAATGTAAAACTTGTCCTTGCGTTTTTCTGCACAGATGTGCAATTCTGGTTCAAACTTGAGATAAGCAGTATACAAGGGGGCAGCAGGGCACAGTACAGGGGGTCATGAGGGCATGGTACAGGGGAGAACATATTGTATAGAGGCCACAGTAGGGCACATTACAGGGCATCGGCAGGGCCCACTGTAGTAGCTGAGTGATTTCATTTATATGTAGAGCAGAACAGGGATGCTGCTGTGATAACAGTCCTGTTCTGGTACACTGATAACAGACGGCCCTCCTCTTGTCCATCCTATGTGATATCCAGAGGTGGACTGACAACTCATGGGGCCCCCGGGCAATAGGGGATCATGGGGCCCCTGTGTCCTTGCCAAAACTCAAAAAAAGCCTATGAAAAAGGTACCAGGGGCATCTCATGGGGCCCCCTACTGACCCCTGGCCCTCTGGCAGTGCCCGAGTTTCCAAATGATCAGTCCACCCCTGGGTATACCCTATACAAGCCCCTGGGATGGACAGGAGGGGAGGGCTGGCAGGGAACAGCACAGACCCTTAGGATGATGCTTCCCTGTGCCACTCTGGATCAACTGGTTAATCATGGCAGAACCCCTGGAGACTTCTCATGGAACTCCAGTTTGCTTTAAATTGGGTTCACATATGTGTGGTGTGGTATGTCCCATGTGATTCGCACAGGAACCGCACCGCATTCCTGTGCGAATCACATGTGATTTGTGTGCGGTGCGATCTGAACCATACATTTTGTATGGCTCTAATCGCACCACACCAAAAACGTGCAGGACCCTTTTTTGGGTCCGCACTAGAATCGGATTGCATGGGTATTCACACCTATGCAATCCGATTCTGAACATCGCACCACGTTTTGTGGACCACTTTCAGGGTGTGATTCTGATGCGGTGTGGAATTTGCACTGAAAACTCTGCAAATTCCGCACTGCATCAGTGTGAACCAGGGCTGAAAGTATAGTCCAAAATATGACAGCATATGGAGCAACTAGACGTTTTGTGTGATAAGTTAGGTGTTATCCAAGACAAACAGCACAAAAGCTTAAAATCTGTTTTCAAAGAACACCCAAGCGCCAAAATTATTATATTGAAAATAAATATATAAGTAAGATAAGATGGATATATGAATCAATAAAGGTCCTTCACAACCAGGATACAAAAACTGTATGGTGGTTCACTACTGGCTACAGTTATGACCAATCAAAACATCTAGTTGTCGCAATGATATCATGGATCATGGGAATAAGTTTCAACTACTGCACACATTAGGAAGGGTATTGTAGGAAGGTAAAATGTATATTATTTAAAAACCAGTCATTTCTAGTTTAGATGAAAGATCAATGACTAAAAGAGGGGGGGTAGATTACCGGAATACCTATGCAGTGAAACAGCTGGATACAACATGTTTCCTGAATTCTTTATTTGCATAAAATCTCCTTCTTTGATGTGCATGCCATTTGAGTTTACATTTCTACATAACGCTGCATAAAGTTATAGTGCGAGAAGTAAACTATTTCACAGTGTCGGCCATAAAACATACAAAAATCAAAAGTTTTTGTCATGATTGACACTCTTTTGAATAACTACTTATGCGTAGTGGAGCAAAAAGCTTGCTTACTTATCTGGAGCAAGTTTGCCTGCACATTGATTGCAGCATTACAAGAAAAAAAAAAAACACAAAACACACACACTACAAAGTACAAAGTCATGACAAAGAAATGAGTTAAGTTTTTTTCAATAACTGTGCAAAATGTAATATTACACATCAGATTTTCTTCTAATCATAATTTCTTCTACTGACACAGCAGGTAATAAGTTTATGCAAGTCTAGCGACCCTGCACTATGCAGTTGTGCCTCTATTTAAATTTACAAGGTGTTAAGTTGGCCATAGGCGACTTGAATTCCTACCAATTTATGCCAATGCTGAAACTTGAGCTGTGAGTGGCCCTGTCAGCATCCTCTGCACACCAAAAATAATTTTTTTTCAATCAACTTTTGCCAATTAGATGCAAGCATTGTTCAGATATTCAGCAGCCACCGGAGCAGTGCCTACTAAATACAACAGTCAAAGACATTCTTCTATCCATGCCACTTGGATAGATGGTTAGGGGAATCGATGGGGCTGGATGAGAGAAATTGTGTGGCCAGGTTTACCTCTAGGATGTAACCAGCCTAAGCAAATATTTGCCTTTTCTTGGTTCTGTAAGCCCCCCCCCAAGTCTGATGGGTATATTGCTTCAGCCTGTTGCTTGAAGAAGGTTCCAGTAATCAGTGGGTCATGAATATTTATCTGACACAGCCAAAACTTTGATCAGCAATAATCAGAGAATGATCTGGGGAGGTGTCAAAGCACTTTTCCAGAACCCTTTTACCTGGGGCACTCACACTGGAAAGATTCATATGTGAAGACTGATGGTTGAGACCGGCCTCAGGATGTCCCATGTGCTGAGGGCTCTGGAAACCCAGCAGATGCAGATGCCTGAAAGGAAATGGTCTGAATAGAGATACTCTTGTCTGAAGAAGACCTCAGAGGAGATGGGTATATGCTACTGACTTTGAGGGAGGGATATTTGCACAAGAATTCAGGTATTTGACTGCAGAGGAACAGAAGTCAGACTTCTGTGTAATGCTTTCAAATAGTCACTGGGATCTGGATGTCCTCTAGCAGCATTAACTTTTAAAGGTCACTCTCATAAGACCTATGCTGATTCAGTATACCTGTCCTGTTTTATGCTTTTGAGTATCCTGTGACCCATAAACCCTCCCTTCTCTATTTGAGTACTGCAATAAATAGTAAAAAAAGACCCTAGAGACTGATTATTGTCAGAGGTTTGCCATTGAGCTGTTGGATCCAAATACAGCAGAACAACATACTTAAAGTGGTGCTGGGAATTTTTAGACTTTTAAGTGTAGTAAGATGAAGGAAAACTTCAATCAAGTCCAATATCTCTGGAAAAGAATTTCCCACACAGCAAGGTTTCCTTTCATGGGCTCCCAAACAGTAGCTGAAACCATAAAAATAAAGAAAAAAGTACAGTAATGTTGGCTGCTCAGAAAATGCTTTACCTTCTTGAGAAGAGATCAACATAGATCTGTAAATTCACTGGTTTCTGAGTCTTTCCAAATTTTATTCTGTGTTGAGCCCCAATGAAAGTAGATAGGTGTGCCCCCTGAAACACATTGGCTGTTTTTAAATGACTTTTTTTTTTTTAAACAACGATTAAAAATTATCTAGGACTCCTATCCGATTTTGGTCTAGTGTTCCTTTTTTATATTTTTATGGATCCAGATACAGGAGCAAGTAGCAATTGGACAGGTGAAAGAACCCAATTATTTTCAGCAGTTCCCTCAAAAAGTCATCACTGCACAAAAAAAAAAAAGAAAAA